CCACGTTGGAATTGGTCGCTAGTCTAAAGAAAAGAGACGAATGATTTCGCAAAAACGACGCGTACCTGACCTTTAATAGTCACAAATCATTTATCTACTGTCACTTTCGCGGCTTCACTCGACTGTAATATTACAGTAGCACATTGTTCATAGATTCTACATATTCTTTACGGACAAGAAAAGTCGTTGACAACGATACGCTACGAAGCTACTGGTCGTAACAAACTGGCACACAGTATCAATCGCACGATCGTAACTGGACTGCGGCTATTTGTGCGAAAAGTACAAGTAGCATTCTGCGAATCTTGAAAATTGCGTCTGACAGTCTGATCGTAAAAATCTCCAAATAACTCAAAATTAACCCCGATAATATTTTGCAGGATTCAAGCTTACAGAACCTTGGTGGATTTAAAACTCAGCTCGTTACATTTGAAAGTATGAAATCCGATACGTGATGGATAATAGACGTTCTAGAAAAATGAAACGCTCTCCTGGGGAACATAATGCCAAGCACGATTCTGAATCACGCGAAGTGACAAATGATCGTCGTTGGTAATCGTTTATCGAACATCCGCCCTGTTTCGCATGATCAATCACGATGGAAGGGAAACAGTGAGATTTCGTTGCTTCCGTTTTTCCGTGGGAGTTCTTGCGACCCTATGCACTCAGCTATTCCCATGATATTTCAAGTCGAACATGTTGCGTAACCCTAAAATGCTTCATTCTTCGCGGCTATAGATCAGCGACGCGGGCAATTCTTGCGCAATATTTACCTTGGTACCCCGTAATTTCTTTTAGTCTTGATTGGAATCGACTGACGGGGGCCGCCTTATCGCATCCGTTTTATTGGAATTGTTCTTAAGAAATTGGCACGCGAATCTTGTTCAACGTTACTTCAATCGACGGATACTTTCTGATAAATCTGAGTTTTACGAGGTCTTTTGAATTCATTTATAGCGGCTGTCTAATCCTCTTTCGTCTTTTTTCTCTATTCTCGCGAATAGAATAAAATAAAAGAAATATATACACGTAAAATGAACGTAAAATTTGCAAAGCATGTCGATAAATCCTATTCGCGTGATTAAACGAAGATTTATATTTTCAGGCAAGAATTATTCTCGAGACAAAGCAAACTGTTCTATCGTATTTGATACCGTGAAACGGTTTGTTCCAATCGATCGAATTCATCTTACACGATTTGTAGTTAAAGTACACGTTGGGCTATAGCTAAAGAGCGAACGAAACGATGAATGCCGTGATTAAAATCAAGTATGGTATCTCCGATACATAGTCGCACCGGTGCGCCAAGAAAATGGCAATTGAACGAGCTACATTAGTGGTAAATGTTATGTGGAAGGCCTTGATACGTAACCCCGATCGAAAGTCCCCGGAACTATAGACCGCGCCCACTCTTCTTGATACACCTACGTTTTTGGCTGGCTCGTTCGAAAAAAATGTAGCAATCTGACCCTGGAGAGATGCGAAGTACAGAAATTACTTTCGTAATAGACGATAGAGCGGACACGTGTCCAATATGGTTAACTGTTAACTAAATTTATTAGAGCTATTTGTTAGAACGAGTAGATAATACAAGTGGACAAATGGAATCCGAAGCGTTTGAAACGAAATACTTGTAATTTTCTCGTTTGTATTGTACAGCTGGGACACTGCGTTCCATGTGAGCGTTTTACGTAGCTGGTCACCATGAATGTTGAATGTTAGTCCTTGTAGTATTCTCCGTAAATCGCTTTCTCCATTATAGCGATTCCTATCGGATACACTCTGATTCAAAGTCCTGAACGCTCAAATAGTAACCTTTGCTCGCGTGACATATGATTCCCTCAAGTTTGCCGTATCATTGAAACATTTGAACGATGTCATTGAATCGTTAATATCATAGAATCGCAAGTTCGTGAGATTTTAGAATTTTATAAACGTAATCTTTTGGCTACAGCGTATAAGAAATGAAAATTATCCAACCAGAACTTTGAACCACAGTTAGTGTAATTTCTTATCTGCGAATCTTTACTTTTATCGAAGAAGTTTGCGAACGTAAATATTCCAGAATTATTTCTAATCTTTCGAAAGTTTCAAAACGTAACCCCGTTTGACCTATCCTTATCTTAGTTCAAAATTCCACTTTCAAAAATCTACCAGAATTTAAGTTCACTTAAATTCTACCGGGCACTAGCGTGACTAATTTACAGAGAAAATTCGAAAGTAGCTTTTAAAGATCAGTGGCAAGATCAATGGTAACCTTTGTCGAAAACACACCCACCTTGATCTATCGAACACATTTCGCAAAAGTGTATCCCTGAATGTCACGAAGGATCATTCGCCTCACTGATATACCGTATGTATACTTATACAATGTGTCGATTTTCTGTGGTTAGCTTGCCTCCTGTCACTCGGACCGCTAGGATCCTAGTCGATGCAAGAAAATTAGACCAGTCGGTGTTCAGACAGCGGGACTTGGTACACGCTCGTTCAACGGATTTGCAGCTAGTTCGAGCTGGGTGCACGACCTCGCTGGATGAGTCTGTTCTTTCAATTCCTTTGGATTTTCTTATTTCAAGTTTGACGATTTTTAGGCTGAACAAGGTTGGTTTTTCATATAATTTTTATTGATTTTTCTTCGATCTTTGGCAATGACAGTGACGAACAGTAGCTCACGAATAGCTTGCTCGAACACTTAGAAAATTCTTATGGATATATTACGTGCGTAATACAAAAAGTTTTGAAATTTTAATAATATTTCAAGTGTCGTGGATTATTATATAATGGAAAGATCGTTATAGGTAAAAAGCATTGAAACAGAATACTGTAATATAGCTGATAGTAGTTTTTCAATGTAGCTCGACGTTACCCGAGGATGTTTTTGCTCGATCGCGAAACATCTTCGTTGATCGATGAAAATTGCTACGGAGAACGATTACGATACGTTAGAGCGTAAATTTTTAACTTTCCGGGAAATATTTGAAATATTCGAGTTGTGTAACGTTTGAAGATCGAACGCAACGTTTAATGACATCCGAGACCCGTTGCACTTGAACCGTGTAAAAAATTGTCAGAGCGGAGAATTAAGACCGTGACTTTGTTGGAATTCAATAATCGATAACTTTCGGTCGCGTCAAATCACCGGTTTATGCTCCGTTAGTTCGGAAAATTGTAACATTTTCGTTCTTCTCGTTTGTAACATCGTTCAAATCGAATATCAAGATGAATAAACAAAAACATCATTTTTATAATTAATAATTATCGAAACAGCGTAGATAGTGAAAATTCGTATTTTTAAAGTTTGATGACATTTCATGTAAATAATGCATAATTTTATAAATGATCGATAAAACTGAATGTACGAAGTCATATTATATTCGATTGGTATTGTTAGCAATATCTTTCAGCTTTCTAATATTTACATTTTACAATTTTTAACATTTTATTTAACAAACATCTACAATGGTTCTGAAATGGAAAACACCGTTACGTATGAGAAACGTTTGCCTACGCTTATAAAATTTATCATCGCATTACGCAAAACTACGTCTAGCGAGTTTGCATAAATATTGACCAGTATGTAATTTATGCTTGAATATCGAAATCGGATATCCGATGAGTTCAAGATCAAGTTCGATGACTAAGTGGGAAAATTCTTCTCAAAGTAATATCACGTGTTACTTTATCCAACTATGATGCGTAGAAAAATTTCCAAATTTCATAATTTTCGTCGAACTCTTTATGGAAACTTTTATGAAGATAATTGCTCGATTGATGCGATCTTTAATTTAAGACGACAATAATCAATACGAATGTTGAGTGAGACACTCGCGTGATAATATTCAATAGGTGCGTGATACGTGTTCTTGCTAACGCATGTCCGATCAACATCATTGTGTCGCGTGCATTGTGACCGTTGGTTGTTATAAAATACGCGGAAAATTAGTTGGTGAGCTTACTCGTGCACGTCTTTTCGGTACACGATACAAAGTTTAATCGATCAGTTCTTATTTGAATGTCTATCGGTCTTTGGAATCGAAAATTTGTACGTTCGTGTCTTTCACACTATCAGAATTTCTCAGCTCCAAGGATGCATAAAGGTGTAATAAAAATGTTTTTACGACATCAATTGCAACACAACTAATAACCAGTTGCACTGAGATATTATGTATCGGTCATTTTTACATACGTATTAGAGTTACGTCCTTATTTCATTTAAGTGGCAATATAAATCGTTTTATACAGTTAAATCGTCTGCCATAAAAAGTACTCGAGGCAAAGACTCGTTAAAGCGATGTAAAGCTGCATCGTTTCGTTTCAAGAGCTACCATTCAAATGCTAAGAAACCTTGGTTTTCGATATTTAAGCCATTTTGTGTACCTTCTACACTTTCCACTGAATTATTCTTATGCAGAATCTACTGTTCTCGCTGATAAATCGCCACAAACAACATAAATTACGTAGTCTTCGTTCTAAGTCACTTTTGTTGTAGAATGCAGCTACTGATCCTCTTAGCAGGACTCGCCTGCGCCTCAACGACCGCAGAAGTCCTCGAAACTATAGCTCAATGGCCGTTGCTAGACTTTGCACTTCCGTACGACCAAGAATTTCTCAATCAGTATCGTCCAGAGAATGTAGTACCTACTGGAATAGAGATTGCGTGGGACAAAATCTTTATAAGCGTCCCAAGATTACGAGCAGGCGTTCCGGCGACCTTGAATTACATCCCGAGGAATCTTCCGCTAGAAAGTAGCCCGCAACTCCAAGCTTACCCCTCTTGGGACTGGCACAGCGCTGGAAAAGGCGATCTGAATTGCTCCAAGCTGATCTCCGTGTACAGGACCAGGCTAGACAGATGTAATCGACTATGGACCATAGATAGCGGCGTAATAACGTCAATTGATGACTTCAGACCGGTTTGTCCTCCGAAAATAATGGTGTTCGATGTGAAAACCAATCAGCTGGTACGACAGTTCACGTTTCCACGAGAGGTGAGTCTTGAACGTATCTTTCGAACAGTTGATTGATAAGGAAATCAGGTTGACTGATAGCGAATTTATCAGATGGTTTAAGTTAGATTCTTTTAAAAAGTCAACTTTCCCTCTTCAGGTTTTAAGACCAAACACGTTGATGACGAATCTCATTATCGATGATACCGCGGCAACTACCTGCGACGACGTGTTCCTTTATATATCTGACACTGCAGGACCTGGTAAATAAAAATCTCTAATTATTTATTTCATTTTACTTTTATTTAGATGCTATAGTGTTAATGTTGCTCTTTGTCTCAAGGTCTATTGGTATTCGATGGTGCCACGGACAGGAGCTGGCGTGTGGTGCACGCAACCATGTATCCACATCCAGAATTCTCGACTTACAGGGTAAGAAGACTATAGATTCCTTCGAAACATTCTTTTCTTCCTCTCTGAAGTATGGCCAACAGCGTATGGCCAACAGCGTATGGCCAACAGCAATATGGCCAACATGGATCATTAAATATATCGTAGTACTAATTAAGTGTATTACGAACGAACGCGTTACGCATATTCAACTCGTAACCAACGCAAGATTAAAGGATTGTACGCGTGGCGAATAAATCGAGTTGTAAAATTCTTCCGCGGTTATGCGGCTTCTGATCGCGATGAATAGTTACGCAGCCAGAGCCGAGTCGAACTTCGTAATGCTCGCCACGATTTTACTTTCCTGCGTCGAGTGTTTTACTATCTAAGAAATGGCAAGAAATTTCGCGCTGAGGTGATTGCTTTGCGCGTTCTGGAAATTTATAGGAAGTGAACAGCCAGTAACGCTATCCTATAGATAAAACAAAAAGAAAAAAAAAGATAATATGATAATTCCGAAAAAATTGAACAAAATCTCCAATTCATTTTCAAGCATAAATCACTTTGACCTCTTCAGGATTAGATCTTTTTCGTAGTATCGGAGAAACTTTTGATAATGAAAATCCTTTTTTCTTCAACTTTTGTAAAAACACATTGTATCGATATCTAAGACCACAGTTTTCTTTTATATCGTACAGATACTATTTAAATCGTAAACGTATTTTATACAGATTGGCAGCGATACGTTCGAATTACTGGACGGTGTCGTTGGACTCGCATTTTCTGCCAAACTTGGAACGGTTTACTATCAACCTCTAGCGACCGATCGTCTGTTCAGCGTGCCAACCACTGCACTTCAGGCGGGTCCACCAGCATTTGGTGAACAGCTACCGGTGACCTTGGTGGGTAAAAAGTCTAGTCAAGGACTTGCTCTGGCCGTTGATCCACGAGACGACACGATCCTTTTCTCTCCGCTTACCGAAACAGCCATTGCCGCCTGGCAACCACAAACTAACCAACAGAGGTACATGTTATTATCATTCTACAAAGATAACCTTGTGTTATATTTAAATGAAGATCGTAAGAATGACGATACATATTTGTTCTTCGTAACCTCGTTTGCTTTACAAATAATTATCAAACTAAAAAATTCTCTGATATTTAAACGATTTCTTAACAAGTTATTCTTTTTGTAGTCTATTTATATAGCTTTTTATCGATTCGAATCAAGTTGAAAAACATACATATTTAGAGTTTCATGCGAATTTTTAAACGGTAGAAGATCCTCCTGCAGGAAGCCTGTACCATGTATTTTTATCTTCCGACTAGATCTCAAACGTCAGAGAATTTTTTAAAAGATTCCACTCTTTGTCATGATCTATCTTTTTATTCGTATCGATCGAATTTTCCTCAGGATCTTAGCTTACAGTCCGGAGAAGCTGCAGTTCGTCGCTGAAATTCGATGGACGGAGCGCGATAATGGCAACTTTTGGTTAATGACTAGCAGGTTCCAGAAGTTCTTCAGGCGAGAGGTGAATGCACGCGATATCAACATTCGAATAATGAGGCTAATGCCCATACAGCGTCCGCTGAAACATCCGATCCTCGATTCTTTTACTCGGACCTACTTACTTTCCGACTTTCCGTCGCATTTCTACAACAACACCATAGGATTCTAAAAGGAAGAACAAGCGTCGAAGAATCGATTGCGTCTCCGACGTACCTACGTACGTCTAATAGGAAAATTTCTTAAACTTCCCTAATATTAGACCTAGAATAATCTAGATGTATATGGGTAATCCCATTACCTTCGAACAAGAAAAATCGAAGAAGCTTCATAAATTTCTTTTAGCAAGAAATCTCGTTAGAAAAGAGGGAAAAATGTTTATCGTTGACATCTTAGCAACTGTAGAGTAGAACGGCAATTTTGTAAATCATATACTATAAACATGGATAAATATTTATGTTTTATGGATAAACATTTGTAAAACAGAGAGTAGTGTATGTTATTGTTAAGCAATTTCAGCGTAGATGTCCATTGAAGAGTATCAGAAACGTATCAGTAATTTGTAAAACAGAGTATTATGTTATATATAGAAACAGAAGTATTTTATACCGTTATTTATTCATTAAAAGCTAACGCTGTTTAATCCTATGATCATTCGGACGATTATTTACACAGTGAATCACATCATGTTCTAATACAGCAGATAAAATTCCAGGAGAAGTATTTTGTTTAAGGCGTGGAATGTTTTCTTAACTCATACAGCTCCTTTTACATCCCATATATCCAAATGTCACTTTTTCAAAATGCTTGTGAAATATCAAGGTTTCTATATAGGCTGTAAATTATTAAAAAGTCCGTGAATATAAAATTCTGTATAAATTATTAAAAGTCGATAAATTATTTCGAACTTGATAAACTCAATGCAAATGTGTGTTTAAGTTATAATTAATAAGAAAAAGAGTTATAACAAATAAGAGAAAGAAAATTTTAGAAACAGGCAACGTTCAAAAAAAGATGTCCCGACTGAATGGAATCATTAGAAATTAAGAAACAATCGATAGAACTACGCAACTCGCGTACAAACTCGAAATACAAACTCGCAATGATTATGTTTATCTATTAAATAAAATTCTGCTTGCGTAAACGTAATTACACAATTGATATTGTCGCAATCGTCATTTATATCGTTCGGGTCTTTCAGAAAAAGCAAAAATTGCTGCTGTTTATGTATACAACGTCACAGATCAAATTTCTATTAAACAACTATGGAGATAGAGCTGCACATACTTATTACGTAATCCATGAATTATCTATGTATAACCGAAGAGATATGAATTTATTGCAACGTCCGTCACACATCGATTTTAAACGAGAACAGAAAAATGTCGAAATCCATTAATGGGTTATTGACAGTTCATTGACATTAAGAAAATGTAATAGATTTGTTATCTCGTAATTGAACAAGGGAACAAGGAAAATATTAGTACAAATATGCTAATAACATATTCGTATTATGTACATGTTGTTAAGTTCATTCTGTTGATATTAAAATACGTGACAACACGTGATGTATTGGAAAAATGTAGAAGACCCTGAGAAACGAAAGTCTTCAATTCCATTTCCTGTAAAATTTGTTAATTTCGGTGTAAGAAAATATATAATTGTCGTTTAATTGTTCAAGAATCAAACGATCGATCTCGATTAATTCATTTTCTACTCATTCATTTGTATGAAGCTCAGTTTTAAAAGAATGTAGCAATCACGCAAGAATTTCGCTCTAAAAACAGAGAATACGCAATTCCTATTTCGCAACTAATTTACAGTGTCGGTAGTCGGCTGGTCGACAAAAACTTAATTCAGTGTGTCGAAAAATTTACGTGCAATTAACGATCTCGACTTCTCTCTAAGATGAAGATCTAAGAAAAAGGAAGAATTAATCATATAAAATATCGTAAAATCGTAGATTAATTTCCTCGGAACATCTTGTCACCGTTCAAATTTATCACACTAATTAATTGTCTCTCTAAATATACTGGGATTTTCCCACGCGTTAACCTTTTTTAATGCTATCTAACATTTGCTATATAAGACAAAGACGAATATATTTAACTGGCTGATAATTATATAGCCAAGTGAAATTCTCCGATTCTGTGGTCCTGGCATGTGACCGTGACCAAAGAGATCACAACATTCGAAGGAGCTCAACTCACTCGATCTTTGTGAAGAGACTTTATTCGCAACAGAATCGTTGCTCCACGAGCATCTCTCTGTTCAGTCGGTGATCGAACGCGGTGACGCTATGTGCTACGTTCCGTTCTGTCTTGTTTTGTTATCAGTGAACTGATTGCATGTAAGATAGATTCGTTGTTTCTTCTACAAAGCTAGACAATATTCGTGACGGTTTTATATAATATCCATTACGCTTCAAGTATTCGCATTAAGCATCGAGAACTCTTGAAATTCCAACGAAAATTAATCAAACTAAGTGATCGTTTGCATGGTTGTTGATCTCGGAAGAATTTTAATTTGTGCATTATCTTACGCTGATACTCGTATGATTAAAGTGCTGATGTAAACATCGTCGACAGCGTTAATGTTATTTTGCATTTTAGCACTTGGAAGATACCAGAATCAAAGTGCGTCAACGTCACTGACACCGATTCTCCCGAAAAAAATTTGAAAAAACGTTGAGAATCGAATCTCGACACTTTCGGTCGCACGAATCCAAGTCGATGCCATTGGGCTGTTAACAGCTTTTGTTAATGTCTTGTCCGTAACGGTGAAAGTTGCGCGGGAGAAAGAGTCAGGTGACACCAAAAAGAGATTAATTTCATGAGAGAACGAGCAAGAGGAACAGAATTTTCCTGAACAATTTGACACAACGAAATTTTGGATCGGTCTACAGATCGCCTTAAGAATTGATAGTGAGCTAGTGCTACGTGACGTTTCGCTACGTTTTTACAATCTTGTGGTGAGTTCTAACTCTGTTATCGTAGGCTTCTTAACAACTATAATCGTTTTTTCTGCTCTATGAAGAAATAGCGACAGTATGATTCGATTTTAAGTTGCTAAGACTATGCAAAATAGATTAGACAGGTTTTCGTATGCGTAATCCTAATCTCTTTTATTTCTGCACGTGCCTTTCGATGATAGTTCCAAAGATGCGATAAACATCGCGTATTTATGTAACGCAATAAATGTTATCGAAGTTTTAATCTCACATTATTCACAGCCTCCTTTTTAAGTACAATCGTATGACTAAATATTTTCACCTCCGTTGTCATAAAATGGCTCTCTCAGCGCATTGTTTGAGTATTCATAATTTTTTATGACAAGATACATCTATTTATTCAAGTGTTTTAAGAAAGATAAACATAGGTCGATATTGTAATTACCATCGATTGAAAATTAAGATGCCGGATAATTGAGAGGTATAAAGTCTTTCTTAGAAATGGTAAATCACGCTGATGCTTTTAATCATATGCTATTACAGAGAATCTCTCATGAAATGAAACCGAAAAATTGATTTTCCCGATAACATAGCGTGAAATTACTTGCGAATAAATCACTGTCAACGTTTAATCGGCAATGATTTCGTTATTTTTCAGGAGATGAGGCAGCTTTGCACGTGGATCCTGCTGCTTTTGACGATCGTCAATTTGCGGGCTCTTGAAAAATTGAAGATCATCTACTCGTGGAAATCGTTAGATTTTGTATTTCCAAGCGAGCATGCTAGATTGGCGGCTATTAAAAGTGGAAATTTTATACCTGGTTCGCCATTACCCATAGACGTCGATGTTTACAACGGAGGTAATAAAAAAGACGTAATATTTTCTACTTCAAAATATTTTTCCAGTTAAAATCATCAATCTTACTTGCAAAAAATTTTCCACGATCTTACGAATGATATATTTTGTTATTGTTTCAAGAGTCCAAATCGACGGTGTTCATCGCCATTCCAAGGTTTCAGGATGGCGTACCTTTAACTTTGGGTTATGTCACCGATGAGGTATCGCTCGATGGAAATACCCTAATCGCACCATATCCAAATTGGAGTTACAACGACGCAGGAAACTGCGCTTCGATAATCAGCGTTTACAGAATGCAGGTACGATCGAGGTTTCCAATCATACGAAACACTGTTTTCGACATTTAGACATTTGCAACTTGGAAGACTACTATTTTAAATATTTCGTATTGTTACTTTCATACTGTTACTTACATATTTGCACATTCTTCGACGAAGTATGAATAATATCCAAGAAAATGTCTACGTTTACTCGTGCATTGCATTTCGTATGTAAACAACGACTGATAAACTTATCAACAACCTATTTTTCTACGTAGTCCACAACTGGAATATGTTGTTCCGTTTTCCTAATGCAATCGTTAAGCCGAATTTACCATTTCCATTGACGCATTCTGATAAACAAGTTATTAAATTATTACCCTCGACCTCGAATAAAAGGAAATTCCTTACCGAGCAAGAAAATTCTATAAATTCTTGATGTTGCGAAATTTAGTTCAGTCACTAAAAAATACTCAATCATTTGTCATTCAGATAGATGAATGCGATCGACTGTGGGTTCTCGACACCGGAAAGCTAGGGAGCAAACAAGTATGTCCGCCGAAGCTGCACGTGTTTTCTCTGCGTGACAATAAACTGATTATGCTGTACAAATTTCCCGAGCACCAGTACAAAAATGAAGATTCTCTATTCGTCACGGTGGCCGTTGATGTCCGAGACAGAACGAACAACTGCAAGGACACGTTCGCCTATATCGCCGATGTGACAGGATTCGCGTTAATCGTCTACGATTTTCGTAATTCAAGATCCTGGAAGATCAACAACAACCTGTTTTACCCTTATCCGCCATATGGCACATTCAACATCAAAGGTGATACGTTTGACTTGATGGACGGAATCCTTGGCCTCGCATTGGGGCCGATTCACAACGGCGATAGAATTCTTTATTTCCATTCGTTAGCCAGCAGAGTGGAATCCTGGGTATCTACCTCTGTAATCAGGTGAATTCTCTATGACTGTTAATTTATGATAGTTAACTTATGATTGTTAATATATGATTGTTCCGACATTTCTCGCTGTCTTGTCGCGGTTTAAACGAGCTTACGCGTGCAGGGAAAAATATATTCAATCGATCCGGTTGCTGAAGCGAGATTCGAATTTGGATCTTCCGGTTGCCGAACGAGTGTAACTTCGATCGAGCCAGCCAGGCCATCGATGAATATTTTCTCCCAAACTGCCAAGTCTCGAGTGACTGTCGTGTACACACGACAGTTACGAAGTTGTTATAAAATTACATAATTACAAAGAGGTACTTTTAAAAACGATTGTTCGTTCGAATCCAGGAATTACACACTTTTCCATGAGAAACCCGAAGCCGCTGCAAGGTCGTTCGTGCCGTTTGAACATGAGAGATCTTCGCAGTCCGTAGCCGAGGCTATGAATCATGACGGAGTTCTTTTCTATGGACTGTTGTCTGATCTAGCGATTGGATGCTGGAACAGCAAGCATTATCCTCAGTTTGGAGGAAAGAATAACGAGATAATCGTCAGCAACCCGGAGACGTTGCAGTTTCCCTCTGGTTTGAAGGTATAAACAAAGCATCCGGCATGTTTCGTAGTTTTCCTCGTTAGATTATTTCGCATTGTTCGAAGCGTTTATGTAGAATTCGTATAATTATTCCGTCAATGCTTTACAGAAGCATTTAGTAACACGCCAAGAAACGTGTTGTGTCAATGGAATATTGTTCTTTAACGTGTCGAGGAAATTTCCTAGGAAGATCCATTCGCAAAATCCATTACTAAGTCTAAATCTTCCTGATGACGTAACATGAATTCCAACACTGATCGATGTTCTCTTTTAGATCATCACATCGAAGAAGGGTAAACAAGAACTATGGGTCCTGTCGGTGTCTTTCCAGAGATACATGAGCGGTACTTTACACTCGAACGAAACCAATTTCAGGATCCAAGCTGGTTTCGTGGATGAATTAGTTCGCGGCACCAAATGCGATGTCTCCACCTTAGGAAGACGTTTTCATCGGCAATGAGAGTCGTGGCACCGCGAGCAGTTCTCCAACTATTATCATCGGAGCTTCTGGCCATCATGGCGGTTCTCGACCTTCGCCAATAGACCATTTTTTATGAACGATCGTTTGGAATCGTATTATGCCCAAAACCACTTCCATTCATGGCGTCCTTTCGCTATCAGATCCATGGACGCGCATTCCTCGTGGATCAGAAACGAAAGATTCTGATGTCAATCGCATGATTTTGAAATATTCAGATCAGGATAAATTGTAAAGAAGGATACAAATCTTTACCAACCACAAGGTATTAGTCAGCGGAGAAAAGTCACGATTTTGGAAAGAAGGTTGAGTTTAAATACGAACTTTTGTTGCTGCTCGTGGTGCTGTAGAGGTTTCTGGAGTTTCGAGAGCCTATTTTAAGATAGACAATATGAAATTGAAAAAACGGTAACTCCATGAGTTAGATTTGTAATAGAAATTTGTGTAATCGCGCTAATTGTTAATATAGATTTATTAGGATATGTTATTTATTAATATCGACTTATTTGATCGCGCAATTGCGAAACACACTCTATGTTTGTACAGGTTTTAGTATTGTAATAAAAAATGTGTATGTGATGTTATACATCGAATGTATTTACCCTACTCCCCTAAATTGGAATTTTTATATAAGGTAAAAGTAACGAGTGCTTCCAACAAACGATTAATAAATAAGTAATAAATATGTCTAGATACTGATATCATATATATTATACACATTAATTAAAGGATGTTTCACAATACCAATAAATATGTACACCATGGAGAACGTCCTATTTGAAACGAAAAGAATAAAAGTGAAAGTGGAAAAGAGTATTAACAATTTGACTTCGTGATTTATTGAATTTTATTATGTAACATACAGAAACTGTAACCTAAGCGTTTCTTTCGAATTGAATATGAAATACTCACATATCGTAAGAAATTTTAAAGACGTATTTTCCAATAAACTATTTGGGAAGGAATTTTCCTAGATACTTTACGTAATTACATTTCCAACAGCTATAATAAATTTCCCAAACTTTGATCGTCTATTATGTTTCTGTACCATAATATATTATCCCTGACATTGCGCAATACCGAGCTACAGGACACTACAGGATTGTGTTAAAAAAATTGCATTCTTTTATCTACTTTTAACTAATCTTTCTACAGGAAATTATTATTGGAAAACATTTACGTGTAGTCATATAATTATTTTTATCTAAAGTATTTCTTTCCATGTGATTAAGCCGAAAGCTTTTACGAGTTCTAATTCTTAATCTTTCCTTCTCCGTTTACGCTTCAAAGGGTAATTGGCACACTTGATTTTAGATCGTCGTGAGGGATCTGCTATAATTTGAAACTTTTTATTACAATAGAATTGCGACAATTGTGTCAAATTTTTACTAAATACGTATGAAAAACTGTATCAACGGTACAGGACATGGTATCCTATTTCATCAGCTAATCCATTCACTCACCAAGAATTATTGATTATTAAATCATTACCTGTCACTTAATATCTTAAAAAGTGTCCAAGTTGCAGGAAACATAGGCCTTAAATATAGAACAATACTTATTATCTTATCTGTCTGATATATAGAAGGCCGTTACCACTTGTATTTATTGCCCGAACATTGGTCATAATTTTGCATTTCCTTGTTAGAATCCTTTCACGCATATTGCATTTCCATTGCAACAATTTCGCGCAGGTGCTATTGTCTGTATCTGTATATTCCATTTGTGATTTTTATCTTGTCTGACGAGACAAATTATTCTTCAGAACCATGTTAACGCCATGGTTGTTGGTTGTGTTCCTTGGTATCATCTGTCAAGGCTCAACTTCCTGGATAAATTCTTATAATCCATTTGCGAGGAACTTGGAAAATGCGATGCATGTGGTTTACGAATGGAAATATATTGACTTTGATTTCGGTAGTGAAGAAAAAAGGCAAGCTGCCATTAGTTCTGGAGAATACAATTATACGACAGTCAATCCCATAGACGTGGATCGATGGCGCAGTAAAGTATCAGTTACTATACTATTTCTCCTCGCTGAAAACAGTTAATTAAATGTTCTTCGTACTCTTCATTAAAGATCTAACATTTGTCACGGTTATAAGGGACGAAGGCGTGCCTTCGTCTTTGAACGTCATATCTGATAAACGTGGACCTGGTGGCCCTCTTCTGACACCGTACCCCAATTGGAACTGGACAAGCACTAAAAGTTGTTCTAACATTATAAGCGTTTACAGAGTTTCGGTAATTCAAAATTTCTCTATAATTCCAACAGAACTCTATTTATCTGAATACATCGGGCTAGAAGCCGTATAATAATTTCTCACCGTTAGTAGCGACTCTTCGTCCGTATAGAAGGAGTTTGTATTTAGATAAATGGACAGAAACTCGTTTGATGGAAGATAAATTCGCTATCATATAATATTTACTATTATATTTCTATCAGATCGACAGATGCGACAGACTGTGGGTCTTAGACACAGGTGTTATCGGTGATAATCACGTGTGTCCTGCCAAGCTCGTTGTCTTCGATCTAACAACCTCTGAGCTGCTGCAACAAATTGAAATACCAGAGAACATTGCGATAAACTCGACGTTGGGTCAGGGATTATTAGTAACTCCAGTGGTTCGATCTTTTTATCCTGATTGCGACAGAACCTACGTGAGTCTTCATCCATGTCTTATCTGTCAGGGTTAAGAGAAATCTTGATCGCACATCTGTAACTCTACTGGAATTAGTGAAATATACTTGTTGATGCTACAGGTGTACATAGCGGATGCAGATGGTTATGGTTTAATCGCTTACGACGGCAGTTCATTTCACCGAATAACTTCGAACGCGTTCAACTTCGATCCCAGATATATAAATTACACGATCGAGGGGACAAGCTTTCAATTACGAGACGGTATCGTGGGGATGGCTATATCCTCCTTGACGAACAATCTTTATTTCAGTCCTATGTCTTCTCACAATTTGGGCTATGCTGACATGTTGCAGCTAATGCTGATTCGAGGCGATCAAGTGCAGTATCAAGTGTAAATATATATTGATAAATAACGTTCGTTGACGTGTTACGCTGTGGTTAACACGTGAACGCGTGTCCACGACGTAAGGATGTAGTGTGTGGTCGAGCTAAAAACGTAACATACTCTATCTTTACGTCTTTACGGCTCTGGTGAATTATCGTTCTGGCGAATGAAACGTTTGAAGATTGAAATACATTCGCTCATAAGAATTTATATATATATATTTGATTGGTTTGGCGTTATTCGTTAAGATGAGAGTCAGAGTCGTAACTGCTGGGCAAAAATGGACGGGAAGAGAACCGAGAATTATCGAAACATTTTATCAACTTACAAGTTAAAAATTTCATAAACGTTTATGTTTCATCCATGATGTTCAGGGCCGAAGATATTCTATGGACTCAATCGTCCGCTAAAGCGGCATCGAGAAGCGGAGCTGTTTTCTTTGGACTCGTGAATGACACGTCGATTGGTTGCTGGAACGAATTTCGTTCGCTTAGGAGGGATAATATCGTGAGTAGTCACGTATAGACATTTTTAATCTTCTCCTTTCGATTATATTGCTCGCTATATTTTTTAAGAAGCAAAATTAGAGAAATTAACGAAATTTTGCAATTGTAGGAGCTAGTCGCTAGGAATAGACGGACTCTCCAATTCACCAGCGGTCTCAAAGTGAAGGATTGCCATGGAAAAGAAGAGCTGTGGGCATTGACTAACAAATATCAAAGAATAGCAACAGGGACCTTAGATTACGATGACGTGAACTTCCGAATTTTGAAAGGAGATGTGGGAAGATTGATAAGGGGCACTCGCTGTCAATTATTCGACGTTCTGTGATCTATTGATAAATCTATTAAAATCCTGTTCTCGATATGAAATAAATATTACTCGAAATTCGGTTATATCGTAGGTCGGGGATAAAATAAAGAAATATATAATATACTTGGTGTGATAATATTGGTATGATATTTTTCGACTTCATTGTCTTAGTTTCAGTGTAGCTTTTAAGAGTTTATTTCTACTGCGAGCGCAAATACAGCGTTTTACATTTACGAAACGAGAAACGAGGTAAGCAAGGAAAAATAAAGGAAAATACAAAGAAGGAGAAAAGGGAGGGAAAAGAAGATAAGGCTTATTGTCTAGAGATAATCGAACCTTAAAGCCTAATTATGCTATCACTCGAACAGAATGACCTTATCTTTCGACACTTGTTTCTGGATACCTACGTTTTGATCGTCATAGCTTTATTTTTCTTTAATTAAATCGATCAATTTAAAACACTTACGCAATAAAACAGAAACTCTCCTTTCTGTTTGAAAAACCTGTTGCATGTTGAGTAATTCTCCCCGAACTGACCGTAGGGGTTCCTAAGAAATCAATCGCTCTTAAGATAGCAGAAATGACGTAACTTTTTGACGTTTCTTAGACCGAGTTTGGTCTTATGTAAATTATTACAGTACATTGTTAAAGGGGATAAACAAAAATTATAGATTATGGAACACGATAAGTACTATAAATGGCGATGACTCGCGTGGGCTCTAGTCGGCTATATAAGAAACAGGTTTTCTTAATGACTCCATCAGTATGTTCTTTTGTATTTTACTTGATTCTTCGACCAAGAGTTTGTCAATTTGTTACGATAGTTGGTAAGTTGAATCGTCCAAAGGTCACACCAGATCGAATCCGTAAATCGGAAAACAGGAAAAGGCGATGATACTACCAGACATTATAAAATTTATAAAATACGTTTTTCGAATCTACGATTATTTATGTTTTTGTGATAAATAAATTTACAGAAACGAGTTATCGAAAAGATAAACGCCAGTAATGCAAGGTAGATCACCCATGAGTTTCACATTCACTCTATTATTCGATAATTAATTAAATTCGTAGCGTCCAGAACGATTGGACGCGAACAAAGTTCTTGAAATTTCTATTCGCGATGGCTCGATAAAATTTCAAGGTGTATGTATTCCAGAAGCTTATCCATCCATATTAACTTTCCCGCACAGTTCAACATTACCTCCTAATTCACTTTGTAATTCAATTAGAATTCAAAAAACAAATGAAAGTAATAGCGAACAGAGAATATTACACAACACGTTTTAGATTAAATTTCATTGATATTATCAAAGATATTTCCATGTTCCCCCCGATAATTATAATCAGATATAAATAAAGTATGACGTAACGTAAACGTTACAGTAATTATTCGCTGAAGTAACTACCTGCGTTTAACGCGGTTATTATCGATTAAAAATTTTATTAGATGCATTATTATGTTTATATAAAAAGAAAACAACGAGCACGAAAAGCGGCGGTTGTAGAAGTAGAAAAACATTACTTTCTGCTTTCTCGGTTCGGCCGAACCGTACGATCCAATTTCAGTCTGTCCATCGGTCCTCGAGTGTCAGTACGCGCGATTAAATAATCTCGGGCGGTTCTGTGCATCGTTCTGTGTACCAATTACATCTGAGAAACTCGAACAATTGTAAGAAGTGGCACCTGAAAAGAAGAAAAACCTACGTCTCGATGTATATTTTCTACCATACCGTTCTCAAGTATCTCGTGAATTTAAAAGAATAAAAAGGCTTGGAAACTTTCGTCCTCATAAATCCGTAATAGCATGTTCTTGTAATTTATTATAATACGATGTTCTGTATTCGATCGAATCAAACAAAATTAAGAAATTTCTAAAGGAAGCGAGGATCTTTTTACACGTTTCTACGATTGTAACTATACAGAGAAGATACATAAACAGGTAAATCGATGAGAATTAATCATCTGAAAAATAACGTAGTTTCCTAAAAGTATGTAGATATATTTGTTCGTTCTGATGTATTCGTCTGGACGATAGTTCACCAGGAAATGTATCCATTGTAGCAATACGTTTAACCGTGTTCTTCCTCTTCGACAGTCGATATTCCGTAATATTCCTGCTCGCTGAGAGAGAGAATTCCTGGATATAGACAGGAAATAGTTGGCGAAACCGAAAGTACATTATCCGGTGAAAAGCAGTGTTTATTCTTAATTCGCGGCATTTGTCTCGCGCCACTTGTCGAACGAGTCATTGGAACGAGATAGGTAGCGTTTCGGATAATGTGGATCATTTGTTTCTGTGGCTTTTCAGTCGGTTCGACCATGAGCTTGACTTTTATATGATCGAGACGAATCGCTAGAGATTCGTGTTTGAATAGCATCAAGTTGGAGGAAGGAGCGTTTCCGCTTCCTTCTGTTATTCTTTAAACGCGAACGATTCGTTCGACACATCTCTCGGTAATATTTTAACGAATACGAGTGAAATTTACAATATGCTGAAGGCAGGATATGTGTGGTAAAAAGGGAAAGCGTATCGATATTTAATTGCGTCTAATTTACATGCGCAAGTATGCGTCTTTCTCTTGATGCACTTGAGTTCCGTGCTGATACTTCGTCTTCCGGCTTGTTCACACGTTTGTTAAGCAAGCGTGTTAAATGTCAATTCGTTAGCGCGAAAATATTGGTTCGAATTTCGCGTTATAAATGTAACGAATGCATTCGATGTAAGTACCTTCGTAAGATCAATGTTTATTCATTGCAATATAGCATGTTACATGATATGTACACATAACAAAGCTGTTACAAATTTCACATTAACAAGTTTTAACTCGCGTATATTCTTCTTTTAAGTAGGCAAGTAGCGTGATTCTTGCGACAGCATTTGAGATTAAAGTAAACGGTTTTTAGCGTGGGCTGTGGGGAAACGTGTACTTTTCTTTTTGTGTTTAAATAATTCGCTTTTTTCGGGTTGTATTGTGAAATTGCTGAGTAAACAGCGAGTATTTCTCTCGCAGCTGCCGAGAAAGAACCTTAAAAGTTTAATGCACTTCTACAACCAGAAGGTACAAGATAAAAGCCTGACATTTGCCAAAGATATTTTTCAGCGAATACTCGCCGACTTAGCAAAACGTTTTCAATCGATAAATTAAATTGATACATTGCCGTATTAGAAAATTATAGAAGGATTAGAAAGATTCCAACAGCTGAAATTAATACAGAAACTGACTCGTTCAAAAAAGTTATCATCAAATAGTTTTACAAATAGTTTTACACAACAAAACAAGAAAAACTCGTAGTCGAGCGGTCGCAGCTATTACGAAATAGTATGTAGCGCCTTGAATGGCAGCCTATTATATTGCGGTTCACGTTTTTCCACGACGCTTTCTCGATGACCTAATTGCGCCCTTTAATTGAGACGTACAGGTGATCTCTCGTCTTCCTTTTTTGCAGACATGCCATGACGAGAAAAAGGAGAAGTATCGAATCGGAAGTTGGAACGCGCGGTTGGTCGAAGAATTCATGGACGTCGACCAACCTCATCAAACAATCCAACAGCTATGCCTACGTCTCTCCGACTCATTCTTTCGGTTACAGCTGGGACACCCCTAATTCCAAGTACTACCATGGCTGTTTCGGTCAAAAGTTACCTAAAGTGCGTGACACATCTGGCACAGGCAAGTTTGAACGTCGGTTTGCGACTACGGCATGAAGCGTTTGTAGTATGAACTTTCTTCTAATTGCGAAACATCGTATGAGATTATATTTAGAAGAACGAAGAAATAGTGATACGTATTACCAATGATTGTAAAAATAGCAGCGAGCAACGTGGTGTAACAAACGTAGCAGTAACAGTAACAGTAACAGTGAAAATAATAGTATGAGGTTGAGAATATTTAGAATACAAAAATATTCTGACACGTTAGACCGCGGATAAGAAAGGTGTAAAAATGTAAATAACGCGTATGATATGCAAGAATACGTAAAACGGTGGATTCGTGTGAAATCGAAACGTCGATATGGAATATTCCAATGAAAATTTGCAATTCATTTTAATTAAAAAAAAAATACTCAAAATATAAGTCGAATAAGATCGCGTGCCATAACGTCGTAAAATTAAACAAAGTTCCGCCGCGTAAGAATAATGCTGGCGTTCGGCCGGTGTGTCCTCGTAAAAATAACTTTGCCTCGTAAAACAAATCACTTTCCGGGAAAACCTATATACACGTGCGATTGTTCGGTCGTTTTTCACTGCTTCGACGTGGCAACGACTATCGCAATTTGTCATTGTGCAATGCGATTTTCCTTGCTTTCGACAATCGAACGACGCGACGTGTGTGCCAACCTGCTACGAGACAATGTCGAACATGCTCGAATTATCCGGTCGTTAGGTACTCGAGCGTGGCGAGCTATTAAAATTTGCATTAGAATTTTGAAGTTATCGATCAATTCACAGAAGCAGCGAGCACCCAAGAAGAATCTATCGCATCCATATAAACGCAGTCCCTCAAACGCATACTTTTTCCAAGCGATCGTTAAACAAGTGTGAAATGCTTTTGCCTTGAATGGCTGACAATCTCCGCGGAATTTCAATCATCCGCACATTCAATTTATCTCTGTCTCTCCTGTCCCTCTTTCTTCTGCTCCCTCTTCTTCTTTATCCTCTTCTTCTTCTTCTTCTCCTCCTTCTTCATGATTCGTATCTGCTTTGATCGAAGAAACTAAAGAGTTCTCACGAGATTAATGCTGGCGTAACGATGCTCCGATGCATTCGGCCCAACGAATCCCCCGTTTCGTAACTTCGAACGATTGCTTCAAAACTCGTTCGGAATATCGAGCATCGGGGCAAGTAGCGAGTTTGTTGCTGAGCTAGATTGCGAGAAACGTTATGGCAGAGCCAGAATTCATGTTCCTGAAAGTACAGGTACAGTTACTTAATCGATAAACACTTGGCCAACATGATTTACGATACGAAGAAACAATAACGACAATCTTGTTCGTTTAATTAAATCATTCGTCCAGTTAACATACTCATTAATCGTAGCCGTTGTCTATCGTTTCTTATTTTAGTTTAGACTGGAATCGCTTTGGACTGAAATTTTCCAACGATAGAAACACGCGATCGGATTGCAGCTACCTCAAAGAACACAGTACGATGTAAAAAACATCGCCATGGGAGAAGCTATCGAACGAAATTGTCTTTCGACTATTCATCAAAGTAGTCATCGACTTATTTGCAATCACCGTCGGTAATAGCTTCCACTATAGTATTAGAACGTGAGCAATTAAGTGCACGCTCAAGTACGCTAAAATGTCACCTATCGTCGCAATTATTGTCTTCGATCGATTTCGCCATAGAGCCCATTTATTTCGACCGTTAATTATCGGTATTTCTCAAACGAAATTTCTGTCGTTTTCTCGTTAACTGTTACTATATTTACGCGTTGTATTTATCAGATAAATTTCCTACGTGTGAAACGATTTATAACGATAACGATAGACTCGATCTGCAAGCGTTAAGGAAGAATGCAATTAAAACGGGTTAACGAGTTCCGCATGGTGCGTAGCTCGTGTTACCGATCGTTAAAACATTTTCGCGCGATATGACATAGTTGCGGTTGTGGGCGGCTCTCTTTTTCTTCGTTTCACGAGCACGGAACGAGCTCTCATGAACTCGCCGCCAATGACCTATACCGCGGTGCCTCCGACGAGAGGGAAAATCTTCTTCGAGAGAAGGGATTCGCCATTCTCTCCTTTCGTAGTACACCTAGACACACTTATGACCCGGATAGTGAATATGGCAGTCGGGTAACATCCACGCTCTCATCCCGAGCGAACATCTTCATTTGACCGTCATCTGTCGCGCGTTGTTCTCGATCCTTCTTGCAAAAGTCCAACTGCAGTTTCTTGCTTACAGTTTCTACGCTCAACTCGAGTATCAGTCGATAATACATCGATCTTTCCGACTAATTACCGTGGCCAAGGAAGACCGAGAGTCAGTGGGTCACCTTGAAGAACACTCTTCGTACTTCCGAGGAATCTTGCAGGTACTTTGATCGAAAGGATAGAACCCACACTGTGAGTTCAATTATTTCGCAAGCCTTCCTTTGTCTTATTCCATATCGTCGGTTTATAGCGGCGAAGCGTGAAATATCATTGGAATTTATTGGCTATGTCCCGCGCTTCACTTTCGCGGTGATGAGATACGCGTCGTTGGATGCTGGATGAAACTTGTCGCATTGCAAAAAGGTGAATAGTAAAGTTGGAATAATTTTGAATAATAAAATGAACAAATTCTGGGATAAAAAAGTTCTGAATAATTCTGTCAAGAGCAGGTGTATATCTCGTAAGGACCGATAGAGGATGACATTATGCGACGAACATAACTTTTTTGCGTGTGAACTGACGACATTTCGAAGTTAATTTTTGTTTTTCTTTTTTTTCTTTAGTCAAATGCTGTATACTTGTTTTTGCTCCAAATTTGTTTGCGTTAAAACACATTCAACGAGGAGACGACATACTGTGATATTTTACGTGGAGCGAAAAATTGGGTGATTTTCCTTTGTGTCGAAGAAATTGACATTAGAGACAAAAATCGTTTTTCTATTCGATTTTCAGTGGATCGTTTGTCATGATTTTCTTGAGGGAAAGTCTAGTCAAGCGGCTCTCGTCACCTTGAAAGTTGCTAAACTGCAAAATCATCTTGGATTTACGAGCGCGTTCGCTTTCCTTTTAAATCCGCCGTCTTCCTGGCCGACGCGAACGTACTCGTGTTAATTGCATGTTATATACTACGGTCTCTCACAACCGGTGATGCAACTCCAACATGCGTATTTTGGTGTACTTAATACCAAGCTCGATTTTCATTCACAAGTCTCTATCACGAACGATCATCATACTCAATGAGATTCTTTTCAATTTCTTCGATTAATTTTTTACATTTCTTAAATATTCTACTAGCTGTAGTAAATTTGTACAGCAATTATTGTATTATAATCAACGCAGCTTGAGAAAAGATGCTTATCTTATCTTGTTGCTGGATAATACAATACAGTGGCGTAAATATCTTGTTCACAAGTTTTATATTCACACGCATCGTGTATTTAAATGAAACGTTTAAATGAAACAGTAAAGCACGAATGACAAAGTACATAGAACGAAATGGCAAAATGAAATGTCCTGTAAAGTTCTATTTTAATGTAACATTTCAATTTCTTCGAGAGATAGGTTTTTAAAGATTTGATATTTTACTGAAAAACTAAAAGCAAGGCTATAAATTTATCCATTGAGAATAATCGTTTTATTCGAATCTCGCTTGCAATGACATTATTAGAGTCATAAACCTGGCCAAGAAACTATACCATAGAGAGGTATCGATAGGAAAGTAGCGATAACTGTGGAAGCTTGTCACGATATCGCCAGGTATAGGACACCATTGCAGCCGTAACTCGCGTTCTATCCTCCGGTGACTTTCTTAGATCCAATTTGGTTGAAAATACCGTTATGAATTTCTTATCATCGATCGAACTTTTATTCGCTTACCTTTGCTTCGCCAAATGTCAAATAAATGTCTATGGCATTCAAACGAAAAAGTTCAATGTAAACTTTAAGACGATCTCAGTCTTCTTTCTCTCTTTCAGATTTATATTTCTCGAGACCATTTTTTTAAACCAGTATTGTCGTAAAAATAATTCAGAGACTCGTAAATTCCGTTATAATCGTATTGATTAGCGTAAAAAATTGAAATCTCGATCTCACAGCTGTCATCAGAAATAAATTATACCATCGATCTTTCCACGTACTGCTGCCTCCTGTTCGTTTATTATCCAATAGCCATTGCATAACGATTATCAAATTCACGTCGCTCGGGGCAAAACGGTTACGCTCGATCGCGATAACCGGGTCAACGTGAACTTGGTTGAGAAATCGGCTAACGAAGGTCGTAATTCCCTCGCATGTATCGGAATCTCCTTTCTTTTCAGGCATGGCGAACATGATGCCGTGGCTGCTGTCGATGTGCCTGCTCGGTCTCCAGGAGATCGCGATCCAGCCTGCAAGCAACGCGCTTTCACGCGATCTTGGAACCATCAGCCAAAGAAGCGTGCCTTCGGGCTTTCGCTCGGTACGAACACTTTCCCTCTGATGTAATTTAATGACATACAATTACCTCTTGTAAGTGACACTAAAGTAATTCCGAATGAGAGTAATCTAAGTTCATTCTCGAATGGATTTCAGGATAATAACACCGAGTTGATAATTGAAATTTTCCACCCTAATTATTGGTAATTTTAAGAGTAAATTTATGTAACATAGTACTTACTATAGTTGCTACACGGTATAATTTCCACGGATTCTGGTACTAAATATCGAATACTCTAGTCTTTAAGGAACTACAAAACCCTGATATCGAGCCACGATGAACTTCCTGGCCACATAAACTGTGACTCACCAAAACTCGAAGAGAATTCGCTGGAGAGATCGACCACAACTCCAGAATACAACAATCATCTTTATGGTTCGACGCCGGACTCGAGGGAATATTTCTCGAAATCTTTCGAGAAAAGGCTTCGTTCCAGACTACCGGAAAGAAACCTACTTAGGACGGATCCACATTCGGTGAATCAACTGGAATCTCATGGATTTAATTACGATTCTGGACGAGGGCAAATCGAAGACGATTATGTTGGACCTGCTATGGAATTGGTAAGTTTCACGAAGAATCCAGGCAAATAAATAAACACGTTTCGGCTAAAATTTCCAAATAATTCGATAGGTTTACGCGTGGTCCACGATTGACTATACTTACGACAGCGTCGAGGCTCGAGATTCGGCTATTTACGACGGAGATTTCATCGCGGAGAATAACCTACCGCTGGGACTGGAAATTTGGAGAGACAAGGTTTTCATTACTCTTCCAAAGTGGAAAGACGGTATTCCGGTTACGTTGGCTACCGTGCCAAAACCTTCCAAGACGAAAAGTCCCAAATTGAGACCTTATCCAGACTGGGGATGGCATCGACCAGGTTAGCGTACTTGAATACATGCAAGATCCGAATAACACAAATATAGTACATGCATATGATAAATTTTCAAATTAATTTTTCTTGGAAACAAAGTGTCTTGCGAAGAAATTTTATTCTACATTTTCGACTAACTTGTTTTCACACGTAGAGTGACCTCCTGTCGATTATTTAGTTCCGTCCAGTCCGCCATTACCTATGTATACTTGCTACGCTTCTAAATTTAATTTTCTCGAAAACTAAGCCGAGAATGAACAAATTTTATTCTACGTATTTTTCTTATTTTTCACAAGGAATCACGCGGTGTCCGCTTTTACATGTTATTCGATTCTGTATGTGTAATGGCTCACTAGAAAGCATTTACTATAGGGAGAGCTTTGATATCGTATCGCTAAATATCGTTGCTTACAATGCTGTCGCGCAATATATGATTCTTAACGTGAATATTAGCGAACGTTATTTTATTACCAGGTAACTGCGATGGACTGACTTCCGTCTTTAGAGTGCAAGTGGACGAATGCGACCGTTTGTGGGTCCTAGACTCGGGCAAAGTAGATATCGCGAAAGGAGGCAAATCAGCCTGTCCTCCAGCCATCTTCATCTTCGACCTAACGACAGATACCCTTCTCAGAAAATACATTATACCGAGTGACCAAGTAAAGGAAGATTCGTTGTACTCGAACATCGTGGTGGACATCAGAAACGAGAATTGTGATTTGGCGGTAGCTTACGCTTCGGACGTGTTCCGCTATGGATTATTGGTCTACGACTTCTTCAAGGATTCCTCTTTCAGAATCCAGCATCACTTCTTCTATCCTGATCCTTTGGCCGCCAAATACGAACTCCATGGTATAAAATTCCAATGGACGGATGGAATTTTCGGGATAGCGCTGAGTCCAGTGGATATCCACGACGATAGAACCTTGTTCTTCCATCCTATGTCCAGTTTTCGGGAATTCGCCGTTTCGACGTCTATTCTCGCTGATAAAAAGACAGCCGAAGAGAATACGGAACTTTTTATGCCGATTGGTAGACCTAGAGCCAAAGACTACGGTCATTCTTCCGGTTCCGTGATCGATAGGAACGGAGTGATGTTCTTCAATATGGTGACCAGAGACTCTGTTTGGTGTTGGGACACCAGGAAGGAATATATTCCACAAAATCTTGGAGTTATAGGGACTAGTAATTTGTCCTTGGTCTTCCCCAATGACATCAAGGTTGATCATGAATACGATCAGAATATTTGGCTCATTTCGAATAAGTTGGCTATGTACCTTTATGGAAGTATCGATAGTAGCAAGATTAACTATAGAGTGTTCAAGGCTAATGTTAAGCAGGCTATCAAGGACACCGTCTGCGATCCTAATTACGTCGTGCCTGGCTCTGAGCACGGTTACGACGAGATTTGTTGAAGATCCTTCGCGTTTTGTTAAGAGATTTGAGGTATACGTGGTGGGCAAGAATTTGTTAAAAAATTGGAATATTTGTGAATGAAAATATATGTTGGGGATAAGGGAACCGGGGCAGTCGTTCCTGTTATCTCAGGAAGACAAATGTGAATAGACGTTACGCCGCGACATGTTGAGAATAGAGAAAACAACTACCTCGAATTCGTCTTCACTGGAAATAACGGAGAAGCTTTGTATTTTTTAATATTTTAAGCGCGATAAAATCTCTAAGCAAATACATTGGGTGATCACTTTGATCACAATGTTTTAATTCCATTCGTATATGGTATTGAAGATGAGGTAACGAATAAATGTACACACCGAGAGATCGTGCGACCAGGAGAAAGCGTATCGTTAAATAAATGTAGCATTAAAATATTCTTATGAGAAGAAAGATTTTCCCATGTTTCCTCGTTAGATGAAATGTAAACTATAGATACTCATTATCATTTTTGATATAAATCAAGCAAGTTATGGGGAAAGCCAGCATTTAGAGTGGATGAAAATTTTCTCACATACACTGCCAGTTTTTATTCATTGTACGTATGCTACGCTTGCGTGTTTAGAATATAGTTAAGCAATAAAAGTAACTTTGCTAATTAATCACGCGATTACTCTCTTTCTGACTCCTAGCGTTATGCAACCCGCTTCCACGCGAGATTCGACGTTTCTTCGACCTGCAGGCGTCTTTTTTAAACTTTTTTTTATTATTTCGTTAAATGATTGTTCGTATGAAATTAATTGATTCCATTGATCACAGAAATGGTATTAAAATATATTTATGTAATCCATAAATGTAAGAGAACACACTAAAAATGTAAATAAACAAACAGACCGAAAATGTAACTAAATAAAACGTTTGAATTCGAATGGGGACAGCATATAAATAAGTAAATTTAATGGATTATACTGCGTATAATAAATGCATCACTGTCTTAACGTAAACGAATGGAAGCTCAAAAATGACGTACTTATTGCGAAACGCGTCGATGCGAAGAGGAAAGCTCTCGCAAAGAACCGTACACTTGTTAGAACAACCTTGTTAAAAGATAAATGATCTCTCTGGAGGGAACCGTTCCTTCCATTTGCGCTAAGCGTTTCAGAAGGGTTCATATGGTTGCTGTAGGTCACGCGTGTGCGGTTTCAAGTAGCGCGAATCGAGGACACGATACACCAACTGCATCTCTGTTCTCCTTCCTGTTGATCTTCGCCCGAAACCTTCCTTCCATTCCTAATAAAATCGTACGATATTTGTAACGATTTTATAAAATTTAAAACCTTCCCCAAGCTGGAAACTGCGTACAAGTACAAAAATTTATTTCGAAGATAGTGTTCGACATGTTTTTTTATTTTGTGAACAAGGAAACAGGAAACGATAATTATTTGTATTAATTTAATAATTTTCATTTTAATAAAATGCGATTATTAATTTTACCATTTGTAAGATTAAAATTAAGTTAGTGGCGTCTAAGGTTAAAAAGTCTTATACGTAAAATATTGGAAGTTTTAACTTGAATCGTAATACATATACAAAATGTTCGGCTAGAGGTGTCGGAAAATTTAAGTGTTCCTGAAGCCGAAATAAGAAAATCAAAAATAAAACAATTGCGACTTCGGCTTTCTTTTTTACTTATTGACAATTAAAAATTGGCCAAAATATCCCTGCACGCGAGCAAACCTCCTTACACCAACAAAAGTAGGTCAGTCTAAACAACAGGGCGCACAGTAATCCTCAAACCGAATGACACATAGGCAGCAGCAGTTTATCTCGTATAGATCGTAGAAAAAAAGACCAGAATATTCAGAAACGTTAACGACCCCGTGCTACGTTTTAAAAAAAAATGGTAGATTGAACATTAAACCTGCTTATTCATGGAAATCGATAAGAGGTGTGAATGGAGTTGATTAATTCTAGAATAGTCCATTTTTATTTATAATTGACTAAGTACCAAAAGTATTTCACTAATGTAATATACCATAGATTGGTTTATACGAACACCTAGTCAGGATCGCAGCTAATTAGCTCATATTATTTGCCATATAATTAATAATTATACCAGTTATACAGTTGCTTTACAGTTAATAGTAATAATCTAAATGTAATAAAGGGAAAGGGGAATTCAATCGAAGAAACAAATTCAATTCAAGAAATAAATTTAATCGAAGAAACAAATTCAATCGAAGAAACAAATTCAATTGCAAAAAAAATTCAATCTAAGAAAGCTTAGTAAAATTTTATAAAATACGTATAATTACTCCGTGATTGTATATGTATAATTACTTCCTGTTCCGCCGTTCGAAACTTACACGAATCGAGGTCGATGGCGCCGACCGATGATGCTAGTGATCTATCGGTGATCAAGCCGTGGATTCAACACATAAGCCGGCAACTTAACACACTCCAACTGAACGAGTGGGATCCGGGGAGGGACCACTGAACAGTATTATGAAAGTAAGTCCCCATCTGCACAGTGGGGTCCACCCCCATGCGGCAAAACAAGTTTACAGAAGACGCAAAAAAATTGCAGGTCCCTGACCGAGTACCGAAATACCAATCGGACAGGACTGCAGATCCACGACTGAATCCCCAACAGATTCGCAAGCATCACCGTCGCGACGACAACTCCCGTGATCCGATGCAAACGTCGAGCAGTCGTCCAGCAGTCACCAAGACAGAGGTGTCCTTGGGACGACTTACGAATCCGAAGAGTTGTCTAGTGCACATTGACCCGTATGCATTCCAAATACGCGCAAGCGAGTACGCCACGCGACAGTTTGAAAGAACTGAGTGATCGCGAACCGATAAATCGCAAGTAGAATAAGTACTGTGTGGTAAGAGAGTGAAGGGAGACGAGATTTTCCTTTTTTCGTTCCCAGGTGGATAAATATCGTTGTACAGAATAAGCTCACAATGCATTTAACACAGGTATCTACCTTACGATTAATGAAGACTAAAACCTACGCATCCCACGGTATCCCACGGTATCCCATGGTGTCCCACGATGTCCCACCGCGCCCCACGATGTCCAACGGTGTTCAACAGTGTCCCACGATGTCCAACGGTGTTCAACAGTGTCCAACGGTATTCAACAGTGTCCAACGGTGTCCAACGCTGTCTAACGCTGTCCAACGGTGTCCCACGGTGCAGTCCAGTCTAGATCATCCAAAATTTTTTTCGCGGCTTTTGGTGATCCAAACTGGACTGTTGCGTAGTTCTTGGCTTGGC